CAGTAGGAATGGCAAAGGACCCGGCTCAGCAACGGAATCGCGGCAGCGCTTGTCCCAGTTCATGTCCGCGAGAACCTCTCCGCGCTCGCCGACTCAATCGTACCCCCGCCCGCATCGTGCCCGTCTCCGAAGCCAGCAGCGCCACCCCGACAATTGATGCAGGAAGCGCGTCAAGCTAAGCCCGCCGGGAGAGTATGCGTATAGCGAGGGCGTGGCGCGAGGGCAAACAAACGCAAGTAGGGTGGGAAGGTGTATGTCGGGAGTCGAAGGAGGCAGGCGCAAGACTGTTCGATGGGGCTGAGTGAGGCGAATTCAAACAGGGAGGAGAGCCAGTAAAGTGCTTTATGTGTGTTTCGTCGCTGGAGGTAGAACAATAGGGGGGGTTGACGAGGAGGCAGCACAACTACGACGACGATTGCTTTCGAAGATATATATATGGGTTTTCAAGTTCTAATCTAAAAGACACCAGGATACCAATCGCGTACAATTGCGAGCGATTGAACCCACAATGCGATGATGTCCGCGTCGTCGGCGCTGCCCATAAGTGGGAGAGTGCGATCGGCAAGAATACTGACCTGTTCCTCTGTAAGAGTACCTGCTGGTGGCTCGACCGCGACATGGCTAAGTTCGGCCGGCGGGCCCATGTGCCCGAGCCATGAAGTTGAATTCTCAGTGGTCGGATTATTTTGTTGATGAGATTGGAGAACGTCCTCATCACGTAGACCCTGCCAGTCGATTCCATGGACCTCCAATTCCTCTTCTGTCAAGCCCTCTTCTTCCGCGGGCAGCTGGTCGCCGCGAACCCCGCAAACAAACATGTCGAAGCCGAACATATCAGCAGGCGATCGATTTGGGCCATCGCGGATTTGAATGCGGTGGGTGTTCCATGACTCAGCAAAGAACGCTAGTTGAGTGTTGAGAGTGGCGAGGAATAGGAAGTGTAAGAGCCAAATGTGGGCAACATTGTTGATGTCAAGCCCGTAATGCAGCTCAAGATCGACAAAACGATCGGCCCATGTCGCACCAACCTGGGCTGTTACATCGACCCAAAGACGCTCTATGCGTATATTGTGAACACTTCTGTTTAATTTTCAGTGTAATTTAGACGCAAAAAAAAAACAATACTTGCCTTCCCCATATGTACGAGCCACGCCAAAGTCCACGATGTGACTCCATCCAAGCGGCGACATAGAGGTTTTCCGTCCCATGGTCACCGCGTAGACGGGAGGGTACTCCGTGAATTTCCGCCGCAGCAAGGAATAGAGCCAACACGGTGTCGGCAGTATTGTTGTCACTTGCGCGAAGACCGGTTATGAGCCGTGAATACCCATCGATGAAGCCGTGAATCACGATTCCCCATCGAATGAGCCCTAGCAATTCATTTGGTCAGAATGGGGGATGGAACTTCACGAATGGCGCACCATGCTGCCCATCGTGATGCCAAAGTGAATTGGGGCCAAGTACCCGATATTCCCGACGCCGAATTCGGATGCGCTCGAATATACGGCGGACTGGGTCAATCCGTAAAAGCGATAGGCGAATTCGCTCATGTGGAATACGGTGGCCCAAGCGAAGGAGCATTCCGTGGAGCATTCGAATGCCAGCTCGTCGATAGTGTGAGCGTAGACGGAGTAGCAGGTCATCTAGATCCTCATCCGACATAGTCGATAGCGGAGCAGTAAACGATGTAGGTCGCGGATCGGAGTTTGCAGCATTTTCAAGGTCCTCGGGTGATGGCATAGGGAGGTCAGGATCAAGAATTTCGTCGTCGCCAGCCAGACCCTGCGCTGGTCGAGCAAAAGGATCCGCTTGTGGTTGTACAATACCCAGTTCAAGAAGGGCAGTACGAACCGTGGGCCGGCTAACACCGAGAAACCTAGCAATACTTGAAGTGGACCGTTGTGTGTACGCCCAGCGAAGAAAGTCAGGGTCGATTTGCATTCTCGGCCGTCCCGGACGGTCAGAGGGTATTGTATGAACTAGAGTAGGGTGACCATAGTGTGATTCATCAACTGCACGTTGATAGCTTAGCCGTATATCAAGCAGCATGTCAGCAAGATTGGTGTCCATAAGTAAGAGTTCATCAGCTGGAACAACACTGCCATGCTGGAGGGTTGTTTCAGTGCTGCCCAATTTCATAAGGATCAAGATATACCTCGCGAACGATCGATACAAACTCATTAAGATCATCCCCCAAACGCCGCAATAACAACCGCATCTGTGTTAGATTCTGCAGTGATAGCATGGACGGCAGCTTCGAATCGATGGTAGTGTGTGCGAAGAGCATCCAGGAGGACAGTTCCTTGCAGTGATGGTGGGAGCTCCATGATGGGAAGCGATAAGCGGTAACGAAGGCGCGTCACATCACGTCACACGTGTCGACGTGGCAGCGAGCACACTGGATGCTGTTCGAACAAGGTCAGCAGGCAGCTTGTCATTGGCCTGATATCAACCTTTTGAATTGATAGATCTACCACACATCAACATCAGCGTCTCCATCCATCGGGGAACCTCCTGCCGGTTGGATGCGGAAGTCCTTACTGGCGTACCCATCGTACCACCTATGCGTCTAGTGGGGAGTCCTGGCATGCTGGCAGCCTACCAACTCATTGACCTTATTCGCTCAGAGGTCATGTCCCGCCAAACATCCATCTCTGTTCTCATTTCCCAGCTACTTGAAACGAACTCCATGGATGGCTCTCGAGTTTCTGTCACCACAGCCCAAACCTGGGACTTCCGAGAAGAGATGTTCCTCGGTCATCTTCCCCTGACCTTGGGGAGTGGTATCCCTCTGATTCACGCTGTCCTGGCCCTGGACCCCGAGTATCTCAGCCTTATGCCGTCACCAGTTGCTCATCTACCACACTTCTTCCTTCGCTTCAAAATTGACACTGTCCGTGACAGTGTTGTCGACAACACCTTCCTTTTCAATCCCTTCATTGATTCACACTTCTCAATGGGAAATCTTGGTGTCCCACCGGCTTTTCTCTCGGAACAACGGCTAGATGCACGTTCATTGGACTCGTCCCCTTCATCTACCCCCTGCCCCTCCTTTGGCTCCCCACTCCAAGTCCATGGCCCACCTGTCACCCTGCGTATGGTCATCGATGCAAAAGCCAAGAGCTTGCTTGGCGCAGCCTATTATGAGCGGCTCTCAGCACTTGCCCAGTTCTCGAAGGCAACGAATCGCACCGGTATTCAGCAGATGGCACGCATGTTTCTTGCGATGCAGTCAATCATCACCGCGCTTGGTTTGGACCCTGCTGACGCCACCTCCGCAGACAGCTTTGTGGATTCGAGCAGCAACTGCCACACAGCAACGACATTCGACATTATTCAGCAATTTGGATGGACCTCCTATACAACGTTCAGCAACAAGAAGCGATTCTATGACCATGCTGAGGCTATCGCAAAAGCCTCATGGAATACTCAGTTTGCCAAAAGTATGATTTTTATTCTTGTTTTTGTAACCTCCATATTAATTTTATCTCATTTATCAGAAGGGCCAAAGTATCAAGTCTTCCGTGCCATTCAATCACTCTGGGGTGTAGGTGGTCCCCTTCATCCAGACAATCGGTTTCTTGAACAGACTGTTCCTTCAACTTTGGGATGCAAACTGTCCGAAAACTCACTAAAGACACTGGGGCGTACAGTTCTAGATTGCTGTATTACGGAGTAAATAGTCAAATTGGAGGTCATTTGGAGTGGGATTATGCTTAGTATTTCATTTCGTAAACTCTTGATAAATAATGTTTTTTTTAGGATCTGCACAATTAAACACCTAAGTTTATGACCTAGTAGGATTTTACATGGATGTATAGTTAAGAAGTAAAATATACTATGATATATGTCCTATATCTATAAATGCTTAAAATTATAGTGAACTTGGATCTATGACCTGTCTCTGGCTTACTTTTGTTCTCACCTCCAGTGTACCTAAAAAGGCAATTATGAATAATGGAGTTTTAAACATATTTATATATCTGGGGGTATGAACTGGGCAATGTGGCATATGACTTATATCTTCTAGAGGAATATAAACTTCACAGAAGAGCTTAGGAATTCATGCAGCTCCACAAAATTCTGTTATTTGCAATTTATAAGAGTTTCTGCTGTAAATACTGAGCAAGATGAGATATATTGATGGAAAAAAAATCCTGTTAGAATACCTCACTTATTGATCTCAGAGTATTCTGGTCACCTGTGACGATAACTCTAATGGTTGTCCTCAATACTATTAAGTTATCACAAAAGATTATAACTTGAGTCAGGATTGCAGTTCATGGATATATTATTAAGATTTGAGATTTGGTAAGAGCATATATGGGAAAGCAAGGTATGCATATTATGCTTCACTTTGAATCCAAGTCTTATAGAGGTATGAAAACTAACCTACTCAAAAGCAATTTTCCAATATTAGCCTGCTATTCAGATATCCATATCTACCTAACCCAGACCCTCACCAGCTTCATAAGTCAATGATGAATTTATGAGCTCTTGTGTAATGATAATAGTAATATATTTAATAATATATTTAGATTTAATTGGCCCAACAGTGTTTTGTCTGTTAGTCTTTGTTCCTAGGTCAGATTTTGTCAGGCAAGTAACAGATGAAAGAACCTATTAAGCCCTCCCACATCCCCCCCTCATCTAAGGTAGAGACTATACTATTAGCTAAAATGGCCCTAGAAATGTTTTTAAGCCTATTTTGTGAATATCTCCATAGACTGTTGTCCTCCTCCCTTGTGGCCTGGTGAGATGACTCTCATACTGCTGGACTATATCCCCCTGTGATATCAAGCTTATCCATCTAGTGGCTGTTGCACTATACCTTGTGCAAGCTTTGACAGCTGCGATCAAAAATCGTGGGAACTGACATTGGTGGCTATGCTAATGTCAATTTCCATCAACAAGCCATAAACTCCGATTCTTCCAGTCCAAATACTGGTCAACACAAAAAAAAACCATTTGGACTAAATTCTACTAAGGAAACAATATATCTATGCAATACTATGACCACCAATTGCGTTAATGAACTGCAAAAAAAGCCAGTTGTCGATGGCCTCCTCCAGCGTGAATGGGGCGACCGCGTTGCCAGCCTCGTCAAGCGTGGGATATGTCTTGGCGCAAAGTTTGACGAGGAATCCATAGGGAATATAGGCGGAACGGAAGCACGCACGGAACAGAATGTTACCGGCCTCGTAATGGAAGTCAGTATTCCGAACGCACGCCAAATAGATCGGCTCTGTTGGGAGGATGAAACTAATTTTCATCTGGCTGAGCTCGTTGCGCGATGGCAGATGGGGACTGCCAGTTATGGCCCACGCAGCAAGCCGGCTACGGAATGCGATGCCGTCGGCGTCGTCGAACTGAATCTGAGGGCTCAGACTCCCACGGATGGCGTCGAACTCGTCAAGGTTAGGGATTCCGGTACGAGCGAGGAATTCGGATATGACCTTTCGCATGACCATGGCTTGCACCACGTTATCCAGGCCCGATAGCGCTTGGGCAGCAAGGCGTGGCAGCCCATTGACAGAGACGGCCTCCATGAAATCACTGGGATCTCGAATGATAGTGCCATACACCGTCTCTAGGAAGGAGTAAACTCCGCCTGGGGCGGACCGGAGAAGCTGGCCGAGTTCAGAGAGGGGAACTATATTAAAGAACATCGCACCTCGAGCACGGAGAACCCATTAGAACAAAGAGAGTTGAGCCCGGTGTACCATGCGATGGCCTCTGGTCCGTCCGTCTGCTGCCCGCCGATAATACCAGCTAAAACCATCGCGGAGAGAAGGGCTTCGTGCTGAGGTTCGGCGCGTTCATTGAATTGAGCGACCTAGAGAGTTTCAGAAATGACTCAGTCCTCGTCGAGCGTCGATACGAACCTGGATATCATGGTGAAAGACTGAGAAATGGATTTGCCGGTCCGAGATGTCGCCCAAATGCCCCGCCTCCTTCACCCTCATGATGTCCAGCGCGAGCTCAGGATGGTTCTTTTCGAGGAAGGCGCGTGTGAAGCAGCGCATATCGAATCGGCAGGCCGGAAGTAAAATGAGACCGGAGATGAGAGGCGACGGTGCCATTTGGTGAACAAGCATGAGGGCGGTTACGCACCCAAATGCAGCCATTGAAGCTTTGCGCGCCTCGCTGACGATGGCCCGATTGGGAATTGTCGCAATGCTGCAGAAATCGTCGGCTCGGTGTAGCAGAAATTGGCCCGCGTGTTCTTGCGTGAAGAACTGGAAGGCAGCATAGACGACCTCTCGTTCCACACCCATCCCATCAGCAACCTTCTTTTTCTCTCCTGTCCGTGGATCGATCTTGATACTGGGGTGACAAGTCAGTTTGGCTAGGAGATTGTAACGGAGACTCACCGACGGAACGTTCGATCCGACGTCAGGACCATATCAAAATGACCGTCTTCGTAGCAGTCCTTGATAACACGGATCAAGTCCTGCGCCATGTCCGCATTCGTCTCGCCTTCGACAATCAACTCGGCAGGGACGTTCCCATCCGACGCAGCCTTCGTCGCAGCCACAGCAAGGTCAGGAGCGAAGTGTACTTCACGCATCGCTGCTGTTCCGGCAGGCGGCGTGTAATCTGCAAAAACAGCGCCTTGGCCGCGGAGCTGGAACGAAACAGACAGAGGATGCTAGATGGCATCTCAGTACACATTCGCCGGCTCAATGAGAGATAAACTGACCAGTGGACGGATTGCCGTTGTGGTAGAATTCACCGCTGCACTATTGCTGGGTAGGTTGCTCGACTCCACCGAGGCTGATTCCCCGGCGGCGTTCCTCCGAGGTCGGGGCGTCGGCGTGGCTGCCAGGTCATCGTCGTCCCGCTAGTGTACCAGATTTCATCAACTGACACTCTGTTGCTGAAAAATGAGCACATACCATAAGTATATCATCGATCTCAAACTCGTCGTCCGTTTCACCACCCGACTCGCACTCCGCAGGCCCTTCCCAGTCCTCGGCGACACCCAGACTCGTTTCAGAGCAAAAGAGAGCATGTTGGAGGGCAGGGATGCATGCGCTGTGGCGGCGTTTGGGGCCGTTGTCGACACTTGCAACACATGAGACGTTGTTGTTCGCGATGACTGGTAATGGAGTCAGTGGAAAGCGGGATGTGGGGACGAAGCACAAACCCCAAAAGATGTGGAGGCGATTGTCGCGAAGACAGATGCCATGCTTGGCAAATTCGGAGGCCCGCTCGGTCAGCATCTGGCTGACCGAAAGCATGGAGTCGATGGTGACGCGTCCCAACATGATGGAGCCGTCACCTCGGGCGGTTCCTTTGTTGAGAAGACGCAGGTGTTGGAGGGAAGGCAGTCGCGTTCGCAAGTAACGCGTTATTTCCGTCGACGAGGATCCGAGTTTCCACCGGCCCGGCCCGGCCTCGAGCCAATTGATGATATCGGGGGTCATATCTCCGAGCGTAATGTCCTGCGATACGACGGTCTCGAGGATTAAGCCATGGGCGGTCCCAAACTCAAGGAATTCGTTCCATAATGTTTGCGGCACAGCAAGGTTGGCGCTGGACTTGAAGGAAGTAAGTACAATAAGGAGCAGACATAGGAAGGACGCACCGTTGGTGTAAAGACTACATGCCGGATAGCGACGTCTGTAGCGGAGAGCGTGATCTCGCTATGGCGTCGGACAGACAACACAGCAGCCGCCTGGGGATTTGATGTTGTGCTGGGCGCATGCCTTGCAGGCCCTCGTCGGGCACGACGAATGGGAAGCTGACTTGAAGACGCTGTTGGGCCATGCGCTTCGGCGGCAGAAAGGCGCCGGTCGTTTGCGGAGCTAAGAGCCGCGGAGCCTGGGCGGGAGCGAGTGGAGGGGAAGCGGGGGATGCTCGAGTTAGGACCGATGCCATTTCGAACCAGCGAGTTGAAGCCTATTCCAGCGAAGGAAGTTCCAGCAGTGTTCGGATAGCCTTGAGGGGCGGTCGGGAGCGAGGACCGCGCATAGCGGGTTGCCACAGGGGGTGCAGAGTTTGATTGAGTGGGCAGAAGGGAGGCAGTGGGACTGGATGTCGATGTGTTCTGCGGCTGCAGATTTTGGGCAAAGGTGACAAGCGGCTGCAGCGCCTGCAGGATACTTGCAAAGTCAACCTGAGAGGGTGTTGTGAGCGAAGCACAATGATATAAACGGCGAGCACGCACAGAGTTGGGAGCTGTCATATTGAATTGAGAGCAGTTTTGGGTGGCGAGAAGTCTGTGGAGGGTCGTTAGCGATGCCACGTCACTGTATGGCCGTACGAACGAAGAGCGGTGTCGAGGAGTTAAGCAAGCGAGTGCATTTGAGGCCGCTTATGACAGTCTATAAAGACTGTTGGGCGGTGCCAAGTCCCAAAGCCCGCCTGAGGCGAATCGTCATGGTGGCTGGATGACAAGTTGATGTGAGAGTGACAGCCTGAGTGTGATCCGATAGCGGGATTTCCACTTTCGGTCAATCATCCGATTAAGCGAAACTCACATCATCACCATAGCCTAGCAACATGTCCTCAAGCACAACCACGGAACACAGACAAGTAAGCAGTGTCCATCAACTCCTATTTTCACACACGGCAGCCCCAAGCACAGGGGAGAACCACAACATACATGCCCAACCTGATTGCGCAACCACAGCAACATGGCTCAAACATGAAAAAAAGCTCAATGCATTAGGGCAAAAATATTTCGCCGCTTCTGGGGTGGGCGGCTCGGAAGCGGCTGGTGGGCGGCTCCACGAAAATTCTGTAGACAATATCTTTGTAAGTCCTTAACATAATAGCGACATTCTTGGGGCGTTCGATAGCCCCCGACGAGCCCTTTCGAACGCGCCACTGAGCGGCTCGAACGGTGGCTTTGTCGTCGAGCATCGCCCTTGGACTTTTTGGGTGGGCGGCTCGGACGCGGCGGTGGGCGGCTTTTTGCCTCATTTTCGCCGCCCTCTTTTCGCGGTGGGCGGCTGGTGGCAGTGTTGCCGCGGCGGTGGGCGGCTCTCGCACAAGTGAGCGCGGCTCTGGTGTGACAGAGGGCGGCTCCCAGCCAAACCTGGAGGGCGGCGATGGAGCACTGCCGCCACCCCAGTAAGCGGCCGCTGCGGCGCCGGTCTCTTCCAGCGACTAACTCCTCGTCATCACAAGGCCCTTGCCTTCCTCGCTGGCCACCTGTCCGGGTCTTGAACGCATGTTGCGTTGCCCTCGCCGTCGTCGTCGTCGCCATCAACGTTCGCCGGCGGCGTCGACGCTGACAGATGATCAGTGATTAGAATCTCTACATCTTGTCTCTGCTCCACGACCACGGTCAAGTGCCCGCCGCCACCTGGGCTTGCATGCGCGTTGCAAGACTCCACCAACATCTTCAACGACGACCCCACTGCCAGTGGCAGTACTGGCAGTACTTGTGCCCTCAAGCTGCACAGCCCGGCACCGGCCATGGACTGTCGCTGGTGCCGTCCTCAAATGCATCCTCTCTTGCTTGGGCTTCTTCTGCTGCGCCCTAGTCATCGCGCAACATATGGGCTATACATATGATGTAACATGTTAATTCAACAATCCCTAAAAATTTATAGTTACTTAGAATGTAAATAGCAGCACAATGACTACAAATTATGCATTGGGGTCTTCAATACCATGTACAGAACACCCAATAGTATGCAATACAATGAAAATCCCAAAACGCTAAAATTGAGCACTTCGCCGCCCACCCCTGGGCGGCGCGCGGACAGGCCGCGGCCGCGGCCCTAAAAGCCAACGGAGACGACACTCGCTGTCAGCGTGAGTGTCTGCCACGCAGATCCACCATCTAGTGCTGCAAGACCGCAAGGGATGGCGTTGGCGCCAAGTCCTAGTGGCATTGATCATGATCGACGTCGACGAGCGGCGAAGTGCATGATCTGACGTAATCATGCACTTCGCCGCCCACCCCGCCGCCCACCCACTGGTGTGACTGCCGCGGCAGCGTGACAGAGGTGGGCGGCGATGGGGCTAGGTGACGCGGCGGTGGGCGGCTGGTGGGCGGCGGAGGGCGGCGAAATATATCTGCCCCATGCATTATCGTTGCAAGCACCGCCAACAGGTAAATAATATTTTGTGATAAATGACCTCATAGTCTTCTTATTAATGATCGACCAGTCGCGACGGGCAATCGAGCGTATAATGAACCGCGAGTCTGCGTGCGAGCATCGTATGGACCACGCGTATCCGTTTCTCGACGGTGAACCGCGTGTGGAGTGTTTTGGGCTGCAATTTGTGCGATACGACCGATCTGTGGAGGATGCGCTGGGAGCATGGCGTCCGCCTGGTCGCAGGAGATCTTCTTGGGGTGGAGATGAGGAGCTGAAGGCTGCAAAAATGTGAGTTCAAAGCGAAGTTGACTGTCGGCACAATAGCAAGCACATACATAGCCAATTGGCTCTCCATCAACCTTTAATCAGCAAGTTTGTCAATATATTGCAGCCGCGGTCTGCTGATATGTCCCTCGACACGCTCCTTGTCCTGTCGCAGGCGTGGGGTCGAAGGAGCCCGGGCCGAGCGGGCCGACCACGGCGGTGGCGAGTGCGAGAAGCTTAAGCGCAGGGGAGATCAGGTCTTAGAGTCAGGACCACGATTCGGGGGGGATGTCGTGCGAGGGCTGCGAGGATATTCCTGCGCTACACTCAGCAAGGTGCGCTGGGTGTCGCTATCCTCCTTCCCATGGCACCGATGACCGTCGACCGAAGCAGGCGTCCGTCCGGTCCCGCAGAGAGATGGGGATGATCGAACTGGCGCATAAGTATGGCGGACGTGAAGATGAGGGCTGTTGACAACACGATCATCCGTGCTTCCTTCATGCCGTCATCTGCCCTCGGCTTGCCAGTGTGCCTTTGGATTTCAACTCATTATATACATGGCTCATTCGACATCATCATCGCCGCCCCCCTCTGCGTCTGCGTCCGTGTCGTCGGCCGGACTGAAGTCGGTGAGCAATGTCCGCCGAGGAATGAGGAATGTGTGAGACTCACGTTTTTGCAGCTTCAGCGGGGTCCAGCTCGTCAGCGGAGTCCTCTTCACTGACATCGTCACCCTCGGCATCTTCACCTTCTGCGCCTGCGTCGTCTGCCTCGCCGTCGTCAGCGTCTTGCCCAGTAGGATCGATGCCGGTCGGGTCCTCGTCAGCGTCAGCCGCCGAAGTGTCTCCTACAGGTGCACCGGGTCCGGCAGTAGGCGGCGGGGCTACGGTTACTGCGCTACTACTGGTCGCGCTTGCCACACCTGCCGAAGCTGTTCAATTGAGTGAAACATCAAATCAGAGCCTGAGGAACAACATAACACGCACCAGCCTTGGACGCCACGCTCGCCTGAGCGGGCGGTGGTGCGGCCGCTGCCGCGCTCGCTGCTTTCGCGGGTGGCGGGACCGCGCCTGCAGGTGGCGCCTGACCGGTTTTGGGAGGAGCGGCCGCACCGGCTCCGGTTCTGTCCGTCGGTGGTGACGGAGGGGCTCCCGCTGCTGCCGGAGGAGGCGCTTTCCCATCTGCCGCGCCGGCGTTGTTAACGGCAGGTGGCGGAGTTGCTGCACCAGCGCCGGCGTTGTCAGCTGCGGTCGCGTCGTCTGCGGGCGGATTTGCGCCGGCGGCTGGCGGTGGTGGTGGAGGTGGGGCTGCGCCAGCCGGAGGAGGAGCTTGGCCCGCGGCGGGTGGAGGAGGCGGCGGACCTGGAGCTGCTCCCGCTCCCGCTCCGGCCGGAGGGGCTGCGCCAGTCTACGACATTTATCAGCCATCCGCATCAAACGATTGATATGCACGTACCGGGGGGGCGCCGCCGGCTGATTGTGCCGGCGGGGCCTGGCCAGCTGCGCCGGGTGGGGCCTGACCTGCGCCGGGTGGGGGCGGTGGGAAGCCGCCGGCCGCCGCGCCGGCAGCCTGAGGTGGTGGGGCTTGTCCTGCACCAGCTGCCGCGCCGGGCGGGGGTGGGGCTTGTCCCGCCTGTCCTTGGCCTCCGAACTACGATTCAGATCAGGACCTGCCGTCACACGAACTGCATCAAGGACTCTCACCGGAGGCTGGCCGAAGGGTGGCGCGAATGGAGGCGGTCCGCCGCCGAACTGCAAAGTCTTTTAATTCCCTCGTCAGGAAAATGAAAGCCTGAGGGTCACGTACGAAGCCGCCTGGCGGGCCGAATCCGCCGCCGCGGAACTGGCGCGCGGCTAGCTCGGTGCCGGTGTGGACGTGGACGTGGCCGGGAACGGAGTCGGAGTCGGAGTCGGGGCCGGGAATCGGCGCGGCGCTCGTGATAGCGAGGAACGCGGGGAGGAGCGCGAGCAGGTGCAGTTTGATGTGAACCATGTTAATCGTGCGCGGCACAAGTGACAAGTGTGAAGACGGAAAGAAAGAAGCGACCCCGGGTCGGTAGACGTGCAGAAGGCGTAGGAAGAGTGCACGACCAGCAAGCGACGCGCGACGGCGCTTTTTATCCCCGGCTCGGGTTGCGCCGGATGCGCTGTTGTCACGACGACTCGCGATCCCGCGGCCTGGACGCGTCCGTCCATTTAGGCGTTCCACTGTTCCGATCGCGCATATGTATCCGTCTCGAGCTGCCCTGGCAGTTTCCGCGGCAGCGTCGTCGTCGTCGTGGCGCTATATTTGGCCGCCCGGGCACCTGCCGTTCGATCCGGCGCATTCCTAGTATTTGAATCTGTAATAGGTGGCTTTTTACCCTGTACTCTGGCAATGCCTCAAATTGATTGGGAAGATAATGAAGGTAATTCTAGGTACTACCGGAAATATTATTCTTAAATCAAGTGTTAAATACTGTCAGGGGAACCCCTTTTTTGGCCCCTCGGAGACGTCTCCGATTCCGGTTCGACTCCAGTCTCAATTCCGGTCCGGCCCTCCATCTCACCCGCACAATCACCGATCTGTCAACACCCTCCCAATGGTGGTCCTGGGACCTGGCCTGTGACGCTGCCCAAGCCTTCTGTGCCCGATAGCAGCAGCTACGGACAAGCAGTATATAGCTCCTGTGAGGCTTCGGGTCGGGCCATGCAAGGTCTCTCCTGAGAACATGCGCCCGGAACAGAACGGACGTATCGTCGGGCCCGCAAGTAAAGCAAGTGGGGTAGATTGAAATCGAAAGGCCCCGTTAACTCAGTCCCTTGTTAGTGTTGGTGATTGAAGGTTCGAATCGGGTCGTCTCGGGCCTCAGGCTGATGGGTCGGTGATCCCTCCTTGCACAGAGAGAAGTGGTACTTTAGACGATCTAAGCAATAGAGTACATGGTATGCTACTGCATTGATAAGCCGCAGTCTGGGACAGACCAGGAAACGACTATTTTCGTCGATTTTGTTGCTCAGTGCACATTTCGGAGTTGACATGAGTCCTGAATGGTCAGCTAGGGAGTTATCTGCCAAAGAACCAGTTGAAATCTATCAGATCGCTCTATGAAATGTTGACTAAGAAAAGTACACAGAGCCCGTTTCTCACTACACCCCAAAACCCCAGAGATATCACTGAAATATCTGTCAGAGCAATCATATAGATATCACGTTCCAATGTCAGTTTGAGATCAAGAATAGATACTCCTGATTCTTGTGGCTGGATATCCAAGTGATATGCTATATAGTTCTAAGAGACATCATTGTTGGGCTTTTTGTGATATTTGCCATGTATCTCAATATAACATTCCCAGGAAATTCAACAGATGTGTGCGACAAAGTCTTTTGTGTACACTGCCATGTGCCCATCACCACGTCATGACAGCTGTCGATCACGTTCTTCTCCCTCTCCTTCCATGACGACCAGCACGACGACGACCAGCACGACCTCCTCACTGATGCTTCTGCCCCGGAATATACACGTCGTCATTGTGCCAATCCTATGCAAAATACCCAAAGGGAATGTAAACCAAAAGGCATATTCGGTTTGGCGCGCACTGGAGACTCGAGATCGACTTCTCCTAGATAAGGGACACCCCTATCTCTGTCGGTATCGATGACGGACATTATTGGAATGTGGTTTCGGATCTTGCTGGAGGATCAAGAATGCCAAGGGCCTGGACCTGCGATCAATGGCGACTCTAAAACACTGATGAGGAACTGGACATCTGAATACTGGATTTGTGCCAGGAGAGTTGGGATAACCACCGCTGAGGCCATACACACAAGATACGAGTTATGGGTGTCATTCGAGAGCTATCAACTTATTCTACTCAAGATCAAGGGGTTCATCACAAGCAAAACTAGATGTTCGCGAATACGGAAGATTTACACAGGTCATTGACACCAATACACGCGATACCAGTCATCTGGACCTGGATCTTCGACTCTGGCCGTATGGCAAAATGATACCAATACAATTATGTACATGGACTACTTTTCTTACTCAAGATCTACCCGATTTTATCATTTTCATTTTAGTATTTATATCACTGTCTTGTATTTGGGGGACTCACAGATTGCCCCGCTCTACTAGGTGCATCTAGGTATCTAGCTCATCAATCCATCTTGCTAGCTCTTTTGAAATAGTATCATTGCATCGAAGGATTTATTGGTTGAGGGTTTCGGTTGCTGAATACAAGAGTTCCGGTTGCTGCATATTGGGTTTCGGTTGCTGGTCAAGAGGTTAGGGCAGTTAGTTCCTGATCCAACAAGTATAAACTCTCCGGGCATCAATTGGCACTTCTCTATTGCGGAGTTTCGTCGATAGTACACTTTGGGGGCACACAAAATCAACGTTTTTTGCAAGAAACTCGTATCTACCCTACAACCTTACATATCTGTGCCAAGGCTCTGTTCCCAGGGGCCTGTTCTCGCACAAGGAGAAGACGATTTTTGGGTTTTGTGACTTTTCCTACTTGACATTATACATATCTCTCTCTATGACAAGTGGAGTTTGGTTGTTTTTGTGGGTTAGATTAGTTAGAGAGCTCATTTGCTGTCCGCACTCCGCACTCATCAGCATGTTTATATATGTGGGCCCACAAATGGGTGATCGGACACCCTAGCCTCTCCTGCTCCTCCTTGCCGCTGTTCCTGGCTGCAGAGGGGACGATCGTACATCCCTTGCAGGCCAGGCGCTACTCCTAACCTCCTAGCACTCCTCCCCAATCCCCTGGTGTCGAGTTGGGCTCAGCAATGGCTCGTCACGTTGTTCTTGGTCACATGCTTCCCACATTTGTGTTCCTCCTACTGGAGCATGTGACGGTGGGCCTACTGGAGCACCTGTTCCCTGCCGTCACATGCTCTGTGTTGCTAGCCCGCGATGGACTGAGTCGCCCGACACCAGCGCCGGAGTGGACCGGCTGGGTCTTATCCCTGATTAGGCAGACCCTTAGAGTTTCTTCTCTTTGGATCCTCCCCTGCTAGGACCTTGATCTCAGGCCTCCTGGGTTGCCCTTACAGAATCTTGACAAACAAGAATAAATTTGATAAATTAGCTATTGACCAACAAGTAGTATCCTTGGAGTGGGCTTCTGCTGGATGAAGACTCCCTGCCAGATAATTGAATATACAAAAAGGGGTGTTATAGTGGGTATTCTACTTGGAAGAAAGGTGTTCGTAAATCACACCATCGTAACAGTCCCACACTGGTTTTAAAACATCATAAAAGCATTTCCCCTCAGCTTAATTCCCAGCATTTAACTGCTATTCTGCACTCAGCACATGTTCTTTGGAATGCTTCTGCAGGCTGAAGTTTATTACTCCAAACACTCCAAAAAAAAACTTCCAGATTGCTTTAGAACCAAATGTGACCTGCCAAAATATATCGGCTAAGAAATTTGGTGTGCCCATGCCAGCAGAATTGAATAAAGTAAGTCAGTATTATTGCTGCTTTCAAAAAGAAAAGTTGACACCCAGAGTTTCTGACTTTTTTCTCTGTTTTGAGAGAACAAATAAAGCCAACAGATCTCTGTGAGTTCTTTGTACATTATGTTTGGAGTGGACTGCATCCTTTCTGGAGATGTCATGATCTACCTTGACGATATCTTGATTGCCTATTCCAACCTTCAGAAACACTGGCAGATAAGAGATGATATCAGTGTCAGCTTTGACTGAGCACTCACATGCTAGCTTATCTCACGCTAGCGGCGGCTTGTGCCTCACCTTGCTAGCTGGCAGTCTTACGACGTCTCCAAGAGCACAAGTTGTACCTGTGAGCAGAAAAATGTGTGTTTAAAAAAATTTCAATCGAGTACCTCAGAGTCATTATCTCCAATGACTGCATCGAAATGGACCCCATCAAGGTCACAGGTTTTTCTGCTTGGCCAACTTTGGAAAACAAGAATGACGTTTAGCAGTTCCTTGGGTTTGCTAACTTCTACCACAGGTTCATTTGGGACTTCTTGGCCGTCGCATGCCCTCTCTTCGCGCTCACCAAGAAGGACCAGCAATGGACTTGGGGCGACACAGAGGCCTCCACATTCCAAGTGATCAAGGATGCAGTCACCGGTATTGGTGATTCTGGACGACACACGGCCTTTCTGACTTAAGGCGGACAGCTCTGATTATGAGATGGGGGCAGTTCTTTCACAATTCGTCCCAGACGGGAAGTGGCACCCTGAAGCATTCTACTCCAAAAGCTTAAATGATGTCCAGCACAACTACGAAATCCACAACAAGGAAATGCTTGCAATCATCCACGCACTTGAGGAGTATAGACATTTCCTCAAGGGTGCCACACATCCTATTGATATTTGGATTGATCATAAGAATTTGGAGTACTTCAGGAAGATGCAGTAGTTCAATCAGAGACAAGCCCGGTAGTCACTTTGCCTCTCCCGGTTCGACTTTATGCTGCACCACAAGCCCAGCCACGATATGGGTCGACCTGATGCCCTCTCTTGGAGACCTGACCACAGAGTCGATTCCGACAACTCTCATTGTCCTCCTGCAACCCGAACTCTTCTACGGCCGCACCCTCAAGGGCATTTCTGTTTCCGGTCCCGGTTCTGAACTCCTTTGCGGCATTTGTGATGTTCTTTCCAGTGAGGATCCTCTCCTGCTAGTAGCTAGGATCTTGATCTCAGGCCTCCGGGGTTGCCCTTACAGATATTAGATCAAGAGGAACTGGATAATGGAATGAATGTCTTGATAATAATAAGCCATAAACTGTTTTATTGCTATAATGCTTACAGCCTTTTGATGTGATCACTCTCCTCATATGGAAATTTGAAGTTTTATTCAGACTTACGATTGATATGTGAATATCATACCTTGCCCATACTTTATTTATAGTACATTGAGAGCTTCAACACAATAATACATTTATAGTATAGTTATAATCATATTATTATTAGCTGCAAAATATAAGTATATTCAACTAAAATCTAATATGCATATCTCAGGATATATTTGATATATGTTGAAAGAATAAGATGCTAATTCGTAGGAAAACAGAGAGTATTTATACTGTCCCAAATGTAGTAAATTTTGGCATAATATATTTCAAGCATAATCATATTCAAGTGATCAACCATGCGGCCAACGAGAACATAGATTATATAGTCGTTGAAATATGAGATAATGTATACCTGTAATACTCACTGACAAGGCTTAACAGCAGAGAATGTAAGGCAATCCATGGCGTAAATCATAACACACACACTACTCGCTCAAGGCACGGGCAGGAGAAATGAACACCACTACCTTATCGCAGGTAGCGCGCAACAATTTCGGGAGAAGTATATAGCAGGTCTCGATCTATTCTTAAACAATTGTATACAGTACTAGGATACGTGATTTGAATACTTATAAGACCAGGCACTGCTGTTAGGCCCTGGCAGCACACAACGACGAATCTGCATTTATAATGTCAGGCGGGCATCATGGAGAAAAGCAGCGGCGGGCTTACGGCCGGTGCGGCGTTTCTCCGCCACGAAAGACTGTGCGACGGTCCAGAATGTGTCGCCGTCCGATACGCCCTCGTCCCAGCTTTTGGCCTCCAATATAACCAGCCGGTCGTCGGTGAGCAGCCGGGGCTTCGCACCCGCATCGGCCGCCCATTCGGGCGACGGTGCAAGCAAAACGAGCACCCGAAGGTGAGGACACCGCGCGAGGAAGTCCTGCACGGTGCCGCAGTCGGGTGGGCTGGCCAGGGCGAGGTGCGTCAGCGCGGGCAACGCGGCAACGAACTCGGGCAGGCCGGCATGGGCGACGTCGAGCAAAGTCAGGTGCGTCAGGCGGGCAAATATATTTGCCCCCGCATGCGTGTTGCGCCGCCGGATCTCGTTCGCGGCGATGGCGAGGCGCTGCACATTGGCCAAATCGAGGAAGGTGGCGTGGATGTCGCTCCATCTGTCCCGCAGAAGCTCGTCTTCCAGCGCTAGATGCGTGATGCCGCTGCAGAGGGCCAGGATTCGCGTCGGGAAGTGGCTCTCGCGGGAGAGGACCAGCCGGCGGACGGTGCTCGCAAGGAAGTCGGGGGCGCGGTGGGGGGACTGGCTGATCGATAGCACGCGGTTCGCGTCGTGGAGACTGGCGATGGAGAGGGATTTGTAAGAGAGCGGCTCTATCCTGTGATGCCAAGGTGAAACTAAGCGGCTGCGAGGACGAAAAAGGCACGTACCAGCTGCGTACGCGATGCGCAACGAGCGTCAGCTTGGAGCGCGTCTCCGGGAACATCATCGCGGTGAGTTCGAAGACGTCGCGCTCGAGGTCCAGAGGGAGGCGTGGGCAGGCGGGGGGTGCGACCATGGTGGTGGACGGAAAGAGACTTTCCTGGGGGCAAACGTCATGCGCCACGGACTTGCCGGTCTCGACGGCAACGAGGCGAGACATCTTGATAAGCGAGCTCAACAACTCAGCACTGGACCAGTGCTCGAGCTGCAGACAGGAGAGCATGGAGGTTAGTTGCTGGGAACAAGGTTAGCTGGACTTGGGGATAGAGAAACTGGGCAACACACGGAATAACTGGAAAGCATGTTATCCGGACAGAATATGGGCAAAGTCTGGTTGAAGAGGTTGAGAGGGGGGGTGGCCAAGCGAGTACAAATAGCCTGCGGAAGACGTGCAAAAGACGTGCGAAGAACCAGGATACCGATCAGAAAAAACTTCTCGACTACTCGGCACCCACGATAAGCTTAGTTCCCGGGCTAGATCGCGATAAGCAACTCGAAGTACTCTTGTAGTCCGCGTTCAAAGAGATTGGCGGCGCGAATGCGGGCTGACAGCGTGGACGCATGGACAAGACAAACAGCTCGGAGTGGCGCCGCTGCGATCGTGTTTCCGGATTGATATGCCATGAGAATGCCGCCAACTAAGCGTGCATTCAAGTTGTCCTGGAGGAAAACGTCCGTGAATATACGAAGTGACAATTATCGAGGTCACTGTCGCGAGTGTTGATTGTAGGTAGCGTTGTTAGACGACTCACGCCAGCGAACGGAGGGGCCGACGAAAGGCGGGATGCAATGCCTAATGGGACCACATTTTGCACGTGTCGACAAGAGAAGACGTCTTTGCGAGCGTCCGCTGATTTTCTTGACTAAGATTTGCGCGGTGGTATCAATGGACAATTCTCGTTGCAGATCGGATTTGCTCACCCCGCGTTCATGGCCAAATGAGGGAGCAGCTTGCGCTGCTTCGCCTGACGAAGAGCCTGGTCGCAGCGAGCCACAAAGGTAAATGAGAGGAAGCAGAGATGCATAGCGAATCGGGGAGGCGACTGCAGGCGCTGCGAGGACCCAAAACATGTCGTTACTAAATGATTAAATGAATGCAGCGGGGGCGAACTTCGTACCGAAAACTGAGCATGCTTTGCTTGCTGCATGAGCACGTAAGCTTAATGGCTAACGTAAGGGCTAAGAGGTCAACAGAGCGGCAACACGGAGGACACCATACCGCTTCAAGGAGCATGTTAGCTCGCACAAGCTTGTGCGGCCGTTGGTCCAACGCTGGCTAGTGGAGTACGGAAGCAAGGAAAGAGTGCCACGTCACCCTCGGGCCCGAAGACCGGGTGACGTCACGCGTGACCAGACGGCTTTTCTTTTCTTCTTCTTCTACTTACGCCTTCTTGCTCCCGCCTAACCGCGCTTCCGAATCCCGCCCTACCGACGGCGCCTTGCCCGTCCACGCCATGCAAACGACGCCCGGAGCCGCGTGGCGCTGGCAGCTGTCTGGCAGACGTATCATCGCCGTACTTTGGCCGTAAACGCCACCGCCAGCAGTCTGCCGTCCCTACGCCCTCCCGACGAAGCAAGTACTATCTCTCCGAAAGCAGCCTGCGCAACTGTTCTTCGAGTCCAATCAGTCTGCCACTCTACTCGGCGCCCCCGGAGAACGTCGACTCTCACTCAGAGTGTGGCGTCGACGTCATACAGGCGTCACGGTCTGAGCGAGTGCAGCAATGCAAGCCACATTAGGGCTGCGTGTATATTATCGGTAGCAGCTTCTTCTCACGGTCGGCCCGAGGGCCGACACCGTCCGTGGCAACCCTTGGAAGTTGTTGTGCTGGTCACTGTCATCCTCCCCAATGAAACCGCCATATAGACCAAGTTCATTCTGAATCAAGATGCCCTTTGATAACTGCCCGCAGCCCAAATTCTCTTCTTCCCCGCCGGCGGGAGATTGGCCTCCTGTTCAGACTAGGGAATCTCATATAACTTCAAGTTTAACACTTTACATCGAATTCAAGCTGGAAACAAGAAGTTTCGTTTGCGGTTGGGGCTGCAGCATCAAGTTCCAGGTGAAGCAATATTCTTCATAAAAGCTGTCTTGGTCCTCTCCAGCGTCTTCCAGTCCCCAAGGTCGAATATCCCAGGAAGATTTTGCCAGAACGCCTCGTCCGCAGCGCGCTTGATGCGCTTCATTTCCGCGACACAGGTTGCACAAATCATGTCTTGCTGTGTCATGGGGTTGAACGCGTCGTCCGCCCAGAGGCTCAGTGGCATGATATACCTACCCTTTGCCGTCAGCCGCTGGTCCTCTGCTCTGCGACGGTACATGGTGCGCCGTGGCGAACAATAGACGCGGTTGGTGCACCCATCGATTTCGAGCGGGTCCCACAAGAAAGCGAGTGCCTTGCTGCGCCACATGCCCTGCAAGTCGCCGAGCGCTGCGACGTAGCGCACCTTGTCCGCTGGTGCTAACTCGGACTCCAAGATAGTGTGCGTATCGCGCCACATCGCAAGCCGATAAAACGCCAGTGGCAGCATCCAGTCCAGCCCGAGCCGGCGCGCCAGAAGTATCACCGAGATGTGCAGATGGACATTCTGCGGACGGAAGACCGCAGTGCGGCCATTGGTTAAACAAAAGCTCTCGTAGTCGTCCAATGTGGTGGGGTAGAGGGGGTCCATATGGTCCAGAGCACGCCGGAGCAACCAATCCACGTCGTATTTATGGCTCAGGCGCAGGATGACGTCCAGGACGTCGAAGTGGTAGGGCGATGGCGGGGGTTCGAAGAGCCTAGCATCGGCCATTACGAGCAGTTCGGCAGAGCACGGGCACGCACCGTGGGTACATGATTGCCTCTAGGAACGTCGTCATCGCTATTGCAGAGTCGGGCGAGCGCACGACGGGGCAGCCATCCATCCTCTCCGCGTCGGCGGGGACCGGGAACTCGAGCATGTCGCGGAAGAAGGACGAGTGTGCCGCAAGGTGCTGGCCCGAGATGCGGAATACGGTGTCCTCAGCGATGATGACGAGGCCGCCATCCCGGAAGTATAGGCCCTCAGCACGGCGTAGACCAACTGCCGTTGCTTCCATCGAGTGGATGGCGGTTAGAAGCAAGAGCCGACATGACATGTGTCTAGGCGCTGATAAATTACACGTGTTTGATTGGGTCAATGTGTCACCAAGATCATTTTCCCCTATTCTTTCCTTTAGCCTGCCAGTGCCTTTGGGCTGATTGTGAGTCTGTATGACATGATATCACTGCCAAAGTATGCGCTGAAACTTGAAGATTACAGGATTTTTTAGGCTTTTAATTTTGTGAAAGCAAATATGTCAAAAGAAAATATCCAGAGATATGCATACTAGATTATAGTTGACTATAACATAGTATTCATATTTTGCAGCTGAATATAATTATCCTATACTACAAATATACCATTGTGTTGGAGATCTGAATATGATATGATTAGAATACCTTAAGTATGCTATCAGAATATAATTATATTTGACCAGCACTAATGGATTTATAAGTTGAGCTACTCTAATCTAAGGCTCCAGTGTGTATCATCCTATCTCCCATTGAATATGGCACTGAGAATGCAATGCATTCACTTATTAGTGAAGCCCCAGATCTCCAGCTAGCTAGCTGCCAGGCTGAATATGATATGATATTGACAACAGAATTGTTTAGTGCTTCCCAAGTTCCTAAAAGACTGCTCATCTTCTTGCAAACTCTTAACATGTGTTTGATTGAATTACAACAACTATGCAATTGTGGTACAAGACAAAAAACCAAGTGAAAGCTATTTTAAGGCCTGTTGAGAGCCTTGCCAGCCCTGGCAAATGATACAATCATTGCGGCTGTCACCGGCTCTTAACAGGAAACCCACTTTTTCCTGCTGCTAGATCAGCTGGCAGTAGCCAGATCACTTCAATCATGTGACTCACCAGGTTTATAAACCAGGGACCCAGTGAAATCTTATCAAACCAGTGTTTATAAACACTGGTTTATAAACCGGTTTGTAAACCGGATCAAAAAACTGCACCCTAATATGATTAGAATACCTGAAGTATTACTCTTATATTAAGCAGATGTCGTGTGAATGTATGCACATGTTTGGCATCAGCTTTAGCAATTTATTTACTCCACATTTCCACTTTTGGGACCGCTGCTGTTGAAACCCTAATTTGGTAAGAAAAGTTGTAAAGTCTAATTGGGACACAAAGCTGTAAAATCAAGATTTTACATCAAGTACCATAAACAAGTCCAATCTAAGGCTATTTGTGATGTTGTTCTTGGCTGTAATATCAGTATAGAGGGCATGCAGACCTTGATATTTCATAAACTCATGAATAAAATTGGCACATTCAGTCTGCAAAAAATTGTGAAACAACATGTGAAGCTGGGGTGTAGCCCCAGCCTGTCTAGTGCTTTTTTTTTTAGAATAATATAATTATATTTGACTAGCACTGATGTAAGGTGGCTGATTCCTGTAACCATGCTGTTGAAACCACTTCCTGGATTGCCAACGGCACAGTAATGGGTACCCATCGACAGGTGCTGTAGACCCAGGGCTACGGCTGCGAGTGGCATCCATATGTGCAAGGCTCTTCTTATAACCCATAGATGTTTTCCTGCGGGTACCTGCGATGACATCCGCGGGTATTGACACTCGTGCTAAGCTTTATCCAGCGATCGTCCGATCCTTTGCCCCTGTCAGGGGAACCCCCACTTCGGCCTCCTTCGGACCGTCCAAGCGCATCCGAGGCACATCCGACCAGCCCCCCCCTCGGACGCTCCGACCTACCCTGACCCTCGTCCTTTGCCTCCTTTGCCCGCACAATCACCAATCCGTCAAGACCCTCCCAACGATCACCTTGGGACAGAGCCTGTGATGCCGCTCAGGACTTCTGCGCTCTACGTCGGCAGTTACGGACGAACAGTATATAGTTGGCACCCTAGCAGGCAGACCCTTAGAGTTTCTTCTCTTTGGATCCTCCCCTGCTAGGCTTTTGTCGGAGTCTCCAGGGTTGCCCTTACAGCCCCATAAATTCCCATTTCCAGGTGACAGCGGAAATGATAAAGTCAAGAGTGCATTGTAATAGCAAATGCACTCTCCTTTGCTTTATATGTACATACCCTCTATTCAGCTACCTTATAGCACATGCCAGAACCACAACTGATTACAGTACAGGGCCTCAGTAGACATTCAGTTACCCTCATACATTGACCTCAATGTCCAACACTCAACCTACCTATAGACCTTACTAATAACTATTCTAAAACTTTTTGATTTATAATCAACTAACCCAT